GAGAAGAACAGTTGTTCTTCAGAATGCCCTGCAAGCTAATTGGTCCACAAAAGAGAATTTTCTATCATGGAGCTAGCATTTACTGAGCATCTACTCAGTAAAATAAAGTATTGTGAGCTCATATGTTTTCATTAAACTGACATACATTCCCAACCAGTAAAGGTATTTTCCTTAAACTGCCTTGTTTAGCCCAAGGTGTCAGGAAAATTGCTGCTAGAGTGGGGATGCCCCAATATTTAGATGTATAATCTTTGCTGTAAAAATTGCCCAACTTGTGTTACGTTCTCTTATTCCATAGTACCTTGTCTTGATTGAATTTTTCTTCAGATCTGAACACTGGCTTGTAGCACGTCAGGATCAGTTCTCTAGATGCCCCATATATCTGAACACTCCAGCAGCCCTGACTCCTTATCTGGCTGCAATGCCATATCTTCTGGTTTTCAATAAAGGGGAATTTTATCATTTTTAAATTAAAAACACTGTATTCATTTTGGAACGAGAACTCTCCTTCTGAGTACAATTTGCTTTTAGTCTTAGTTTATTTACCCAGTCTGCCAAGCACACAGAGAAACATAGGAATCAGTGATGTTGTTTGAGCTCGTACCCAAGTTCCTGAAATGAAAACCATGAGGGAGAGTAATCACTCTAAGTGGACGCTTCTTCCTCCAAAACAGGGTTTCCAGGAAGAAAAACAAGTAGCATCACATACACAAGATTTAAACTGCAAAGGACATGATTGGAAATTCCTCAGGAAAATGAAGAAGAATGTATAAAATGTTATCTCTGACTACGGGTAATTCAGAATAAATATGATACTAAATACCATTACATTTGTCTACTCATTGTAGACTCTCAGAGAAGGATATGAGGCACTGATCAGTCTCTGTGTCCGGGGTGAGAAGAGAGTGCTACACAATGGTATTGGTAGCCGCAATCATCACATCAGCTCTGACCACGACTGCTGTGCCCTCAGTCTGTGTCGCTGGCTCTGCCGTGAGCACCCACGAGCGTCTGTAAAGTCAGTGCATTTTCCCCAGAGATCGGGAGGCCAGGTGTGGTGGCAGAGGGAAGTCACCTAAACTCATGGTGAAGAAGAGACAGGCTCTAGTTTTGAATCCAGGCAGGTGGCTTCGAGAGTCCATGGTCTTACCCACTGCACAGCCTCCGTATACACCTGTGCAGCATGTGTGTGCATGCTTATAGCAGACAGCTATCTGACTGATAAATATCTAATAGATAAATATCTAATAGTAGATAAGTATATAGTTTTGTCAGCTGTGTTCCCAGTCCTTCTGATTCCTGGGGTCTCTCTTCATTTGAATATTAAACAAAATCAGGCTTGACATTCCCACTTGACAACATATACTTCAAGATAAAGTCTACCATAAAAGAGTTACTGCCGGTTGAATCAATACATTTCAATGAAACCTGGGTGTGATGGCCCATGCCTACAATCCCATCTTCTCAGGAGGCTGAGGATGAAATCTTGCTTAAGCTTAGGTGTTTGAGGCCGGCATGAGCAACATAGCAAAATATGGTCTCAATAATAAAATTATATTATGAAATAAAATAGGTTTACAATGTCCCACCTAGAATATTTGGGATTCCCCAGATACCCATGGCCACCTACCATAATTCTAAAAATATCAATTTCACTAATTAATTGTTCCCCTATTAATTCTTCTTCATTCTCTAGCTGAGTTACTACATTTCAAAATACATACTCAAGGTGTTATCTTAAACATAAAGTTATCTTTATGAAATACAAAATGGTACAGCTATTAAAAATGAAAGCTAACTACTACTTTTTATAACCATTCCTAAGACCTGTCTTTTCTCTTTTACTTTTCTTCTTCCTCCTCTGTCTTCCCTGTGTGTAGCAGACTCTGCTTTCTGTACCATGTATAAGGGGTGTGTGTGTGTGTGTGTGTGTGTGTGTGTGTATGATATTTTTCCATACCCCATGGTGGGAAGATCTGACAAATCGGTCTTGTGGTTTCATATTAGAGATAGGATAGACAAGTTGTTTGATAGCCAGTAGGTCTTATATACCATGGTCCACCTTTGCTTCTCTCTGCTGCTATTCCTCTTAGTTGAAAGGAACAAGTGTTTTCTGATTCCTAAGTAGAAGTGCAGTTCTAACATTTCTAAATCTGATGGTTCCAGACCTATAACCAGAACCGTACTCAACCTCTAACTCTATCCTTCAGTTTGCACCCCAAACTGCAAGTTGTAGCTCCATTTCTTCCATTGCTTCAGCCAAATAACCCTCTCCTCCCCATTGCTCTAGTCCCCGTACCAAGGAGGAGTGGTTTGGTCCATAGCGAGGACTATGAATTCGGGTAATGGACACAGGGACGCTTGGGCAGGTTCTTCCAGAGTCCTAAGTGACAGCAGAGGAACCTGGAACAAGACTCACTGCCTCTGGGTTGGCATGTCTGTTTGGTCCAGGGATCCCCATCCCTTGGGAGGAGGCAACCCCAAGAGAGCCACAGTGGGGATCCTCATGTGCTGCCATAACAATCTTTCTTGGAGTCATTGTCCAAGGTGTGAGCATTTCTTTTACTGATGGCCAAGGGAAGCATCTCAAAACAGGACTGAGTGAAAGGAAAAAGGTGTGACTTTGTGTGACTACTTGGTTACAGCCTGGGGCAAGAGGGAGATGTGCTACTCGGTCTTTGCAGGGACCCTAACTCCTCTGCGGCTATTTTAGTAAGCTTTAGACTTGAAAAGTGGGAGATGCAATCAAAAACCTCTCCTTGGTTTTCTCCACACAGTCATGCCTTGCCGCACTGAAGAAAGACGAACACACCATTCCATGGGAGGGACATTCATTTGTTCCCCTAACTGTATCCAATTCAGTGCCTTAGGATTGCATTGCTCAGGGTTATATGGCCCCTTCTTATATGACCACCTGTTGCTTCAGGGACTCAGGCCACCATTTCAAGTTGTTCTGTGAATGAAATGAAGGCACACGAGTGCCCCTACACACTGCCAGTGTCCTCAGGTACACCCAGGGGCACAAGTATACAATGTGTATTTGTAGGAGTGTATTTCCACTATATTTGTATTCCTCATTTTATACTTCAAAGGATGGGCATTTGCTTTCTGTGAGTAAGAACAAGTCAATACCCAGCTTTTCCATCACAAATATTCAATGTGAAGACTGAAAATGTGGAAAATAGATAATGGGATGGAGTATAGCTCAGTAGCACAGCAGTCACCTAGCAGGTAAGAGTCCCCAGGTTCCATTGGGGGTGGGCGATGGCAATGATGTTGACCAGTATGAAGTGAAATGTGACACTTTGATTTGACTAGTTACTGGAAATGTTTGGAAGCTTCCCTGTCAACATTTTCCTTAACCCTAAGTAATCTTAAAGAAATGTTTATTTGCCCTTTACACTTTTCGTCATCTCAAGTAGGGAGCAAACTGAATGAAGACTCTGTATTTCTTGTTACCCCATTTCTCCAACAATGACTTTTCAAAATCTTTACCCTCTTATCAGAGAATGATCCAGACCTCAAAGAAGTTAAACGTAAAGAGCATTACTTAACTGATCTATTACCATAACCCACCATAAGGTGTGGGGTTAGGGGAGTAAACCAAGAACCAAAGTGAAAAATGACAGTAACATACAAATCCAGCTTTCATGAAGTTTCTCAAAGAACCTTTCATTATCTTGCCTTGAATTCAAACTTTCAAAAATCGAAATGTCAAGAATGTGGAACCCATTGCTATGCTAGTTGCTGTCTTCCTTGTGTTGGGGAGGTGGTGGGGAGGGCAGGATCCCAAAGGGTGAGGCTGCTCCATGAGGCAGATGTAGTGGCCCAGGGCAGCTCTCTGGTTACCAGGCTCTGAGCTGGGTGGCTGAATCTGTTCACCAAGGGATGTTGGCCCCTGGATCCCAGCACCTTATGTCGTGGATCACAGCCCTTTTTCAAAGGAGACAGAGTATTGGGCAGGGCAGGTCCAGGAGAGAAGCGGGTGCTGCAGGTTGCAGACCAGGGTTCAGGTGTCCAGGCCTGAAGAGAGGACTTGGATGAAGCACTGCAGTGTCCCCTGCCTCCATCTCAGGAGAACTGTATTTCAGATATACACCCTGTGCTTCTATAATTCGGGAGCAAGCTGCTGACCATGGCTGGGTACATCTCTGTTTACAGTCTGCTGCATGCATCATGAGAAGTGATGAATTTCTCAGGATATGTAGGGCTTGCATCAGATAGATATTTTGCTTGTCCATCAGTTTTTAAGTTTCAAAGTATAATGTTAGATTAGGGAAAAAAGGGCCAGGGATTTAGCTCAGCGGTTCGGTGGCCTGCCTTGCAAGCACAAGGACCCAAGTTCCATCCCTGGTACCAAAAAAAAAAAAAAAGATTAGGGAAAAGAACAATTCTGACTCAACTGCCTCTCCTTCAGTTTCCAAGCTCAGCTCTCTGGTGACCTAAGGAGGTGCTTCAGACCTGACACCCCCTACACAGAGGGAAGCAAGACATCTTTTTATTTGCTTTAAAATATACCACAGACATGGAATACTGCACCTTAGCCTTGAGGAATACATTTAGTTCTAGTTGTACAAAGAGGGAAAAGAAGGAAGGTAGTGTGGTAATGTTCCAATAAATGAAACAATATACCAAATAAATCTAAGTCATTTATTCAACTTAAATGAGAGCCCACTTGAAATGGTTTTATCTTTTAAGAATAAAACACATTGATTTTAGTAGGTTTAATTTGCTATTTCAGGGCTGGGGATTTAGCTTAGTGGTTCCACCATCTGCCTCACAAGTGTAAGAATCCGAGTTTGATCCCCAGTACAAAAAAAAAAAAAAAAAAATCCATTTGCTATTTCATCTGAATTCACTGCTAAATGGCTCCCCTGTATTTGGAAACTAAAACTCCAATGCTGCCCCCCACCCCATTCTAATCATATTGGGTATTTCCCATATTTTCACAAATAATGTGAAACTCTCCTGTTTATTTCTTTTTCTGTTTATTTCTTTAGAAATAAGAGATTTGACTGAAGGGAGCAAATGTCGCTGTGGAAATTGCTAGCTGGATTAATTATTAAGTAATTGGGAATGGGCAGAGCCCGGGCCTCAGCCCAGCGAAGTCTCCTGTGGTCAGAGCCACTCAGTCCAGCATCCTGGACGGATCCTTGGCCTTCTGAGCCAGAGACCTGCTGCAGGTGCTGGCCCACCAGGAAGAAAGTTGCTCCAGTCTCCTCCTGCACTCTGCCCTCATTTCAGAAATGCCAGCCTTTAAAAGAATCATTCAAGGTATATTCGTTATGACTTACTGGCAAGTGTTCTTTAATATAAAATATATATGATTGGAAAAGAGCATGTATGCATGTTCTTTTTATTGTGGTATTAGAGATGAACTCAAGGGTCCTTGCACTGTGTTACATCCTAAGCCTTTTTTAATGGTTTTATCTTTTTATCTTTTTTTTCTTTTTTATTGAGATTATTGGTACAATCTAGGTATACAAATACAATTACATTCATCATTGGGATTCTGTACCTTTACATAATAGGTCTTGATTCTCATTTTCCCCTTGTCCCTGCCCTCCCTTCACCCCCTCCTCCCCTCCCCATTTACAAACACTTTTATTTCCATTTTTTCAGCTTCTCACATTTTTTTCCTCTCCCTTATTACCTCTCCCCGACCCTTCCCACTTTCCTTACACCTTTAGCCCTTTACTTCCTATTTCACATTATTAATTGTCTCATTAGGATCCTGTGTACTATTATGGTTTTTCACACCAAAGAAACTATTCAGTATTTCAGTTAAAGAAATCTCTGTATGAACATTAAAAATAGGGAATCCTAAAATAAAACTAAAAAGGAAAGTAAAAGAGAAAAGGCAATGATGTCACATCAAAATAATCCTTAATTCTGGAGATGAAAATGGTCCCTGAACATATTTAAATTGCTTCTCACTCTTATAGTCTTTTCTTATTCTTTTTTCATTATTTAGAGAATACTTTATTAGTTTCTGTAA